TCTCTCTCTCTCTCTCTCTCTCTCTCTCTCTCTCTCTCTCTCTCTCTGTCGTTTGTTTTTAGAATTACAAGTTTAAGTTTAAGAATGGCGTATTCCCACAATGGGAATAAACCAGCTATCTATCTATCTGTCTATCTATCTAGTGATGCATGTAAACTGAAATAATTTAATTGAAAATCAATTCACTACCATTTTGGATTAATTAATTTTTGGTATAATTGGGCGTCAGAATTCGTAATTTATTTCAATTAATTAATTAATTAAATATGAAGAGTAAAAGAGATTGTATATTTGGCATAATCTGAATTTGTTTCAATTTGATTTGATCATGTATTGCAAAAATGTATGAACTGCAAAACATTAAATTGATATAAATTGAACTTATTTTCAATTAAATCATTTAATTTCTTATGTATTACTTTTAAGTTAATTAACAGATTTAATCGAAAATAAGATCAGCACCATCTTGACGTGTTTAAGTTCCTTTTTCCAATTTAAAAAGTAGCGTCTATTCTACATAAGATGTATACATAAGAATGATGTTAATTTTCAACTATTTAACAAATTTTATTATTTATTATATAATATGATAAATAGTAGTTGTCCTATGTTGTGTAATATATTTCAAGGTATTTTTTTGTGTTCGTATATTCCTTTTTAAATATTTTCTTTAACTACCTTTTTATTACTGTTATTATAATAAATATACAGGGTGTCCCAAAACTGTTGGAGGTCCTTGAAAAGGGTGGACGGTGGAGGGGAGTCATTTGAAACAAGTTTTTTCTTATCGAAAATGTTGTCCAACGCTTCGTTGAGGAGGTATTAACAGAAAATCCCGACTAATCAGAGCGCGAATACAAGGTGGTCCACACAATTGTTTCAAATTATAACTCCGTTATTATTGCATTAAAAAAATGCCAAAGGAGAAAGATAAATAGTTCGAAGAGCACTACATCTGTAGTCTTTAAAATTTTTTTTAGATGCAGCAGTGCAAGCGCAATTCACAATTGCATCATTTCTTAAAATAGAAATGCATATTGTTTTTCACACAGATCGATTCTTCTGTTCATTCTACGTAACAAATGATTAGGGTACCATCGAAAAAAAATAATTAGTTCTCGAGATATTTCAAAAAATGTTTTTATCGAAGAAGATGGTCAAACGCTTCTCCATTACATTCTAAACATTTCTGATAACGTTTTTTTAATGTTTGCATAACTGCGTTTAAATTATCTGCACCGCATAACACAAAAGTGCCGTACATATCTTGTTTCTCACTGTTAGTAAAATACATTCTCTTGTATTTAGTGAAATACAGTTACACTTTTTCAAATTCTTAGTTTTCGTACTCGAGTTACGATACGTGAATTGCTACTGAATGATGAAATGCTTACTCGTACAAATCAGTTTCTGTTATGATAACAATGTCGAAAGAGTGTTTACCTTTACAAGCGCGTTTACCTTACTATCCATGAAGCGTTTGAGCATCTTCTTCAATGAAGACATTTTTTGAAAATATCTCGAGATCTAACCACTTTTGCCATGGTACCCTAATCATTTGTTACGTAGAATGAACAGAAGAATCGATCTGTGTGAAAAACAATATGCATTTCTATTTAAAGAAATGATGCAATTGTGAATCGCGCTTGCACTGCTGCATCTAAAAAAAATTTTAAAGCCTACAGATGTAGTGCTCTTCGAACCATTTATCTTTCTCCTTTGGCATTTTTTCGTTAATGCAATAATAACGGAGTTATGATTTGAAACAATTACGTGAGCCACCTTGTATGCTGGTGGAACGCTTGCGGTAGCGTAGGCTACGCGCTAGACGGCCGCTCGGACGCTCCATCGGCATACTCGCGCTGTGATTGGTCGGGGTTTTCTGTTAATACCTCCTCAACGAAGCTTCGACCAACATTTTCGGTGAGAAAAAAGGTGTTTCAAATCACACACTGAAGCACATCTTTCGAGAACTTCCAACATTTTTGAGACACCCTGTAGATCAAACTTTATTTTATATAAATACAAAATAATTTTATATCGATTGCATCGGCATATGAGTATTTGTACATATTAATACACTGTTAACCCTTTGCACTCGAGAGGTGACTCTCAGTCACCATTAGGTTTCACGCAGCAAATTTATGTACAATACCTAATGTTTCTTTAAGTTTAATTTCTTTGGAGTTCGAAATGTCAATAAAATGATTGTCGACGGGGTAAAGGTGACCTTATTCTGAAATCTAGATAGCTTAGAATTCATGGCAATAGAATGCTAAGAAAAATCTCGAGTTGCTGGCCTCGAGTGCATAGGGTTAATATATTGTACAATTATATAGATTGTATATTAATATTGTATTAATATAAATAAATTGGAGTATGGTCGATTCAGTACTTTTCTCTTTATACTTTTTCAATGATAGCCTCTGTTTCAGGATGTCCTTCCACCTCAAACAAGCAGCGTATCAAAAATAACTGAGAAGACAGCAAACAATTCCACCGCTCTGGATTCATCGTCTCTTTCAAGGTGTTCAAGCAGTTATGCAATCAATTTAAGTACGATGTACTTAATTCTAGGCTTCCATGCACATCCATTATGATTGCTAATTAGACGAGTCTTACGTTACGAGTCTCGTCGCCATCGATCCGCAGTCGCACTTCTCAGAGAGGGTGCATATTCGATTACCAGCCGGATGGTGGCGATTATTACCTTCTGTGGAGTTACAAGACCATTTCTTTTCGTCGAAATATAACTTGGAGAACTTTAAGAAGGATTGAAGACAAGAAAAAAAGATAGAGAAGATGGTCAAAACACGTTTAGGCTCAGGAAAAAATAGATTAAACCAGTCAGCGTAAATGGAAAGCAGACGCATTCTCACATACAAATTAAAAGGATTGCAAAAATGCACCTCAATTAAATCACAGAAAATACTAAAGAACCATTCATCTCTACAAATATCTCAACCCCATTTCCTCTTCGACACATACTCCAATAACCACCCAATAACAACCAGAACGAATGCATCTCTATATCTCAAAATTGCACTAATTCAACCCCCAAAACGAACTTCCTCTTACACCCCCTTTCAATCACCTGAGACAACCCCTTTACACTCAAACTGAAATTTTGTTTGCAATATACAAACCTGTTACAATATAGTAAAAGCACAAGCCACAATGAGTCGCGACAAAGCTGCATCAATGCGAAGAGGATCCAGTTCGACTATCGACGCGTATATCGGGCGGACGATTAATATTTACGTGTCAACGAAGACCGGCACTCTCGAAGGGTATTGATTCCGCGAACGGGCGACACGCGGGCCACGTCGAAAATACGAGCCACCGAGCGAGTGTGCGCGGCTGATTCGGTCGAACCCTAAAAAGAAAGAGAGGCACTCCTACGGCACTACGAATGGAAACCCACCTAGAGATCTCACCCCCCATGGAATCATCCCGTTAACGACCCAATACAGGCCAAAGCCAATCGATATCGCGAAACTATACGCCGCGAATCGAAAACGCAACGATTCCATCCTGGCGACACGTTGCGCCCGACTGTATCGCCGGT